GCACAGAGAGAAATAGTGAGAAAGAGGAATGGTGGGGGGGGGGGGGGGGGGAGTAGGGCAGTCTATAGTCAGTTTTATGTTTGATTGTTAGACATTTAGATTTTTTATGTAGCTACTGGTGTACTGGTGAGGGTGCGGTGGAGGAGCTGCTAGTGCGCTCGTCTCCATAGCGGAAAGTCCGGGTTCGAGCCTCGGTTCGGACATGCATTTTTTTTCACCCCCTCCTACCCACCCAGCAGTAATGGGTACCTGACTTAGAGTTGGGGAAGTAAAGGCAGCGTGGAAAGGAACTGGCCACACTACCACAAAGTGCCTAAGGCCCAGGAAGTTGCCTCACTAGCAAGGCCATACCCAATGTCCGGATTGGATACGGGAACAACTTTACTTTACTGGTGAGACCACAGTGTCAGTTTCGTTCTCATTGTTGGATCCGTAAAACTTATCTCATCTTGTTTTGTTCCGCGACAGTTGTGAAGTCGTCAGCTGGCGGGTGTGTGCTGTGTGAGTTCATCATGGCGGAGCTCGACAAGATGCTCAGCAAGACTGCCACCCAGGTGACGTAATGGAGAGTTATCTTACAGTGAAAGATTTCTTGTGATATTATTTATACGTTCATGGTGAAATATTCCTTCTTTTTGGGACTGTCGTGGTGTCCTGTTAGTTTTTGTTTTTTTATAATGCAGATCTTTTTAGCCTTATTTAATAAATGAGTGTTTTACATGATGAGATGTGGGCCAATGTTTAAACACTGAATAAACGTTCTTACTTACTTACCTTCCTTCCTTCCTTCCTTCCTTCCTTCCTTACTTACTTACTTACTTACTTACTTACTTACTTACTTACTTACTTACTTACTTCCTTCCTTACTTCCTTACTTACTTCCTTACTTCCTTACTTCCTTACTTACTTCCTTACTTCCTTACTTCCTTACTTACTTACTTCCTTACTTCCTTACTTCCTTCCTTACTTACTTACTTACTTACTTACTTACTTACTTACTTACTTACTTATCAACTTACTCACTCACCCACCCACTCACCCACTCACCCACCCACCGCCCACTCACTCACCCACTCACTCACTCACTCACCCACTCACCCACTCACTCACTTACTTCATCCCTTAATCACTCTGGTTTTTCTCAATCTCCAGGCCTCCATCAAGTCAGCCCTGGACCAGGTGTGTGCTCGTCTGCCGGGGACTTTGTCCCAACAGTGCAAGACGTGGGTGGACAAATACTCGGCCTTCGTCATCGAAGTTCTGCTACAGGAGATGGAGCCCAAGAAAGTGTGCACTCGTCTCTCTCTCTGCGCCGCAGGTAGGAGGAAGGCTCAGCGTTCGGCTTGTAGCGTCTCACGTCTTTGTGTTCTTGTGGTTCTGTGTATCTATGTTGCATAAGTGATTACTAGTTAACTAGTAGAAATATAGTGGAAATTATTGTACAAGACAGCCACCCATTGTCGCAGACAAAAGTTGTTTGTCTTAGGCAGGTGGACAGTTTCATTATAGTATGAAATATATTTGATTTAATTAAAACAATCAGGCCTGAGGTTTTAGATGAGTATGTTTTATCATGCTGGACACAATAGAGATTCTTCTGAGCTTTTAAGACAGTAATTTAAAAACTGAAGCCAGGTACAGAAAAAATGTATGTTTACATATTTTTTCTAAATTAATTGTATTTTTATTTTATATTTGATTATTTTAGTATTATTATGTATTAGTATTTTCACAAAAGCCTTACAAAGATGAATTTTTAAAAATGAACCCCCCCCC